GAGAGCCAATCTTGAATAAAAGGCCTTTATGCCACACCTTGTCGAAAGCTTGGCTCACATCTAGAAAAATCGCGGAGCAGAATTTCTTAGCCTCAAAGGTATTATTGATAACGCTTACAATTCTATGGCACTGTTGAACTGTAGAATGTTGGTTCCGAAAGCCGAATTGATGGTCTGGAAAAATATTTGTATTAGCTAAGATGTTTTGGAGTAGCAGTTTTTCAAGCACTTTCGAGACGATAGGCAAAAGGCTGATCGGTCTATATGAAGAAACCATGTTTGGATCTTTCCCACTTTTATGTATCATTTTTACTATGGATGTTTTATAGAAGGTTGGCCAGTAGTTTAATCTTATTATCGAATTGTAAATATAAGTTAATAGAATAAATCCCTTCTTTGGCATTTCTTTAAGCATTCTTGAAGTCACCAAGTCAAATCCAGGAGATTTCCTATTCTTCAGTTTAGCAATTTCTTTAACTATCATTTTTAAAGAGAAGAAGTTTATACTGTTTTCAGAGTTCACTAAGGTAAATGAAGTCAAACTGGTGTCCGCTGTATTTGAGAGATCTGGATTAGGTTGAAAAACTGAACTCAGATATTCAGCAAATAGATCAGCTTTTTCTGCGTCACTTCTTGCCCAGTGTAGGTGATTGCGCTCATCCCATCGAATAGGTGGATTTCTAATTTGAGGTTTTTGTTTGTGTTTAATAGGATTCCAGATTGAATTATCAAATCTATTAAGATTTGATACATACTTGTTAAAGTTCTGGTTGGAAATCTCTCTTAGCCTCAATTTAAGCTTGTTGCTTAAATTATTAAAAATATTTCTATCCGAAGGTAAATGACTTGATTGCCATTTGCGTCTTGCTCTCCTTTTATCTGCTAATAAATTTTTAATTTCCAAGGACAGCGATTGCTCCTGCTTGACAGTTGTTTTTGGAGTAGCTATTACAGCTGCTGCATGAAGAATTTCGTTAAACTTGTCAACAGCGTGGTCAATCTCTGCTGGATTTTTTAGACTAATTTTGAGATTTATCTTCTCTTCTATTTTACAACGGTATAGCTCCCAGTTAGTTTTTGTTGAATGAAGTCTAACAGGATTACAGACGTTCATAATAGAAGAAGAAATAGTGGCAATAATCGGGGAGTGATCTGATGAAAGATCATAGCTTGGATTAACATCAGTATACTTGGAATTTAAACCTTTTATTATAAAAAAATCCAGTAAATCCGGCTTCTTTCTTATGTCAGTAGGCCAGTAGGTTGGAGTTCCTGTGGAAAGAGTAGAATAGCATTGTTGATCAAGAACTTCATAAAGTGTTCTTCCCTTTGGATTGATCAGTCTTGATCCCCAAAACGTGTGCTTGCTATTAAAGTCTCCGCCGACAATAAATTTACTTCCAAGCGACCCAAAAAAATCAGAGAATTGTGAAGCGCTAATCTTATGCCGGGGAGGACAATATACTGCAGAAATAGTTAATGGAAAAGAAGAAAGTTGAACTTGGATTGTTGTTGCTTGAAGGAATTCTTTGTCATACTTTTGGAGTTCATAATGAGAAATGTTGGACTTGATCAATACGGCTGAGCCACCGTGTGCTGTACCATCTGGATGACATGTATGATAAATATAGTACTGAGGAATAAATAAGTTGGAGTATTTAGTGAAGTGGGTTTCACTTACTAGTAATATATCAATTTTATTTTCATTAAGGAACACTATCAATTCATTTTTATGCTGTAAAAGCCCATTTGCATTCCATAATCCTAATCTTAGAAATTTGAACATTATTTAGGTTTATTTATAAGCGTGGATAACATGTTTATCATCATTGTGTTTTGCTGCATGAGCTGATTGAACATACTTTTGAACTCATTCAAAAAATGGAAGAGACTTGAATTAATACTTTCTGAAATTTCTGATTTACTAGATTTGATTGCTTGAGCATATGACATATGTTCTGAATTAAAAAGATTTTCATTACGATGATTAAAAGTAGAATGCTTTGCATAATTTGGATGATTATTCGAATAATTTTGATTAGTCGCACTATTGCTATTGGTGTTTATTTTAGGTTTACTGTTCAAGAGGTTTTTATAAGTTAGGCAACCCCTATAATTTGCAGTATGGGACTCTTCACAATTAGTGCAAAATGCAGGTAATTCTTTTGATTTTGTACATTTTTTACTCTCATGTTGATCACCACATTTTACACACCTAAATGGCCGGTTGCAGTAAGATTTTGTATGACCATACATTTGGCATCTACTGCACTGTGCTATTTCTGATGATCTCATTGGAGGTTCAAAATGCACAATTTGATTTAGGATTTTATTTAATTTGAAGATATCGGAGTTATTGCTGCTTGGCTCTAAATCAACATATAACATGTTGAGTGGTAATTTACTTCTAAAGTGAATAACATTTGTTATATTCCTAACTTTATGCCCAAAAGTTTCAATTGCTGTTTTTAGTTCTGTAATATCGGTTGAGTAATGCATATATTTCATGACCACTCTGTATGCTCTTTCGCTGCTAATCTGATAGGTATGAAAAACTGCTTTACGACCTCGGAGATATTTAACGAGGTTTTTATAATCATCAACAGAAGAAACAATAAATTTGATTATATCATTAGGAAATGTTTTAGTGGTAAAATTTTTGATATTTAGAATAGTTTTGATTTCATCAACCATACCTCGGAAATCAACTACACCGTAAATAAAAACAGGTGGTGGCAAATTTTTTTTTGATATTTCTGAAACAGCAATAGGCTCTTTGTTTGTTAACACGTTGAATCTATTTGTTAGTTGAATTGGCTGATCTACTTGTCGGTTTGGACGTTTCCTTTTAGGACTATCAACAACTTGCCAAGGAATGGAATTATAATAAGTTGAGGGCTCGTTGCAGGATTCCATTTGTTCTTCATTCATGTTGTTGTTGCATATTGTAGGATTTACGAAATTAATTGCTGGCTGTGACTCATGTAAAAGATGTTCACTTTCGGGACTGCAGTTAAGCACTTTATCAACTTCAACTAACGGAATTGGTGGATTATATGGTTCATTTTGCATAATTATTAATTATGCCTTAATTAACAGTTTTTTAAATTATATATTCAATGAACGAAAATAAATGTACCCTTACGGGTACATTTATTTGATTATTGTATAACACTTCACAATTAAAATCAATTTATATTTCACTTTGGATGATAACAATGTTTGTTTACACTAACTTGAGGCACAGTATACCTGGCCGAAGGTTCGAAGCGAACTGAGGTCAACTGATAAGAAATAAATATTGAATATTTATTGATCCGATGCTACCTGTACGGCAGTTGGTTTCGAACTGTACCACCATACATAAGACAATATTTCTTCTTCTATGGAATTTAATAATGAATTATACATTTATATTATATTAAATAAATAATTCACACCCTCAACGACAACATGTGGTAATTGACAAAATTAGTTCTCGCGAACAAGGAACAGTAACACAAAATATCTGTGTTAAAATTCACTGGTATTACACTTCAAACCGAATCTAACCGAATCTTTTTTTATAAATTAATAAAGAATAATTACTTAGGCAAAAATGAAACATTCAATATAATAAACCGATATGATATTGTTAGTATTATAATAATAAAAAATTATGAAAGTAGAATATCAAAATAAAGAAAGATAATGATAAAATTCAAACGCAGATTATTGAAAAGAACAAGGTATTAAATTTAAAAAAATATTAAAAAGATATTGTATAGATAATAATGTAATGTGCAAGGTGGCTTAATGCTCAATTTTAGCAAGGCCATTGAATAAAAAAAATACATAAAAATAATTTATTTGTCTGAATGCTCTAGTAAGACTAATAAAATAGTAATACATAGTACCAATAAAAGGAACTGTAATTTGAAGCCTCAACATATTTTTGATTTATCGCATATGATATAGTTTAAGATTAAATGCTAAATTGTTATTAATTTCAGCTTACATTGTTCTAGTTTGAATGGAGACAAATACGCATTACACAAAGCATACCATCTTAAATTAATGAGGCATTTAAATTTGAAAATGAATGGTATAGTTAGAATAAAATACTCTCATTTACGAAAAAAATCTCAAATTTTAGCTATACTTCGCATATCAAACGAACAAAGTTTGTATATACAGCAGACTCTCGCTTATACGATACCTTAAGGCTGTACTAATTTTTAACATATAACGTAAAATTTCAAAAAAAATCATCACGTGAGTGCCGAATTACTGGGGGTGTCGGTTTATCGAAGTGCCGAATTGGCCGGCACAGTCCCGATTCTCCGCCTTGCGTCGCGGCTTTTTCTAAAAGCAATATTTGTCCCGGTTTTAGGTGGTTTGTCCCGGATTGTCCCGGATTTCAAAAATTAATTTTTTTTTCCAAACCATTCAAATCGGATGCTTATTTCTCTCAAAAACTGCAAATATTTGTATATTTAGCTCCGTATCTTCGAAACGACTAGACCTGCCTTTGTCAAAAACTAATCACCACTTCTCCCCATCATTACGATTTGAATGTTTAGGATCATTAAAATCGAATACATCCATTTTTCTGAACCTTCAAAACGTGAAGATATGCAAAAATTTCCATTTTCGATTCACGGCCCATTACTATAACTACCCTACGGAAAGTTAATAATTAAAACTCAAATTTTGATTCAAAATTCCTAAAAATCCCGAAAAAAAAGTTTGACAAACGGCTTTAACCATAGAATATAGAGTGTGGCAGGTGGCGCAGTCGACAAGCCGCTGATGCGCTCAGCCAGTCTAGCGACAACCTTTTACCCTGGCGGACATATTTCGTCTGGCACTCGTGCGTGCGCAGCCAGAGTACGTTGTTTCGCTAAACTGCTTTTGCTCGCGACTTTGCCGGTTTTAGTTCGCTTATGTCGAAGTGAAATTATCACATGGAAGCCGGTTGTGGTAGAATGTAAACAGATAGTGTTAACTAGCAATAGTTTAATAAATTAATTTGTTAATCATATAACTGAATTTAAAATTATAATTATACATGTTAATAGTATGTTTTAATTATACTGTGTTAATAGTATGTTATTTCCAGATATGTGGGTATTCGATGTCGTGTAAACTATTGTTTATGTATGTTGTTATGATTAGCGGTAACGGTATTACTAATAATAATATTAACGGAATTACTACTAATTAGAAAGTTATATTAAACTAATAACTTTTCATTTATTTTCATTCAATTCAACAGAATCTGAATCGGTAGCTATGAATTTGAAATCATTGAATTCATTGAGAATGGCGAAAACCCGGAAGAATTTTGTTAAATATTTATTTAATTGTTAGCTTGGAGTGTGCTACGTTCCTCAAATATTGAGTTTAATCACTGATTATTTTCTGGGGAAAACTATATTATTTTATTAGTGCAGCAATCATGAAAACATACAACTGCTTAATACAAAAAACATTATGAGTGGTTCGTAATGTGATATTTCAATCATAATGCATGAATTATCATAACAGCTTTAATCAATAATAACAAAAGAATAGATTGAGTTTAATAAACTCACATGTCGCGTGACGCAGGACGTTTGAATGTTGTGTATTTTTCAGAGATAACAATCGATGTCCAGAGTGAAAACTATTTCACAATTCATTATATTTTGCCAATAATAAAATTGAAAACGTTGAAATTTGTTAACGGATATTTATATTATGAAAATAATATTCGGGAACATTTATCGACCAATATTGTCAATAATCACTACTTTTTTCACAGCATACATTAGGTTAAATTAGTCATCAGTAATTAAGTCAGTGGTTTGAAGAGCTGAGCTGTGTGTGTTTAAACTTTATAATACATATATTGTGAGTGAACTGCATGAACAGAACTATTATCAATTTATACTTGAAAATAATATAGTTGATTATGCAGAACGGATATACAAGCCATCCACAGGAGCAAAGGTTAGTAATAACTTCATTTAATATGTTCTAGCGCTATTTAAATTTGAATCCACAAAAACTTGAGATCTGTATCATATTTTTATTATCTGAACTTTTTTTGAATATATTCTAATTTTAAGTTTCATTTATTTGCACTATATTACTGAAGAATTTTCTCGTGGTTTGGTGGTAAGAGCTTTGGTCTTGCAACCACAGGACACCTTGATAACAAGCTGTTGTAATATCAGCTCTCATTGTCAGTTGAATATGTAGATCTAAACATGATTTTAAGTGAAAGTAGCTCTTCGATGTATTGCCCAAATACTATGGGCCGTAAAATAGACCAATGTTATGGCAAGGCTATGCTGCATTCCAGTTTCTATACAAAATGCTACTAAATACTGTCAAATTGTTATGTATTTGCTGTGCGATCAGGCGTTTTACACATAAAATGCAACTTAACTGATATTTTATCGAGCCATATCTTAAAAATCCAGTTAGGATAACATGTTTTTTTTGACATTTGTGCGTTTTCTAGGTTAGGTTATCTATCTAAAACCCTTGACTGTACAACCACATAGGATTTTGATAGTTTTTAGTGCCATTTTATATGTAAACTGCTACATAACATAGCCTTACCATAACATTGGTCTAATTTGCGGCAGAATCTTTTGAAATCTACTGGGTCCCCTAGCCCAATAACGCTGGATTAAGGATTTACATCATAATAGATCATAGAACAATGATGTAAACTGCATACGTATCTAAATTAATGTACTACTTATTCTAAATATTATTACTATCTCATTAAATACACTCTCATTAAAATTTGTAATATATGGAGAATTTGATCTGACGATATTCATACAGTTATAATAATGAATCATATAGTCATAGTCATTTTACAATCAGAAAAAAATAATTTGTACGTACAAAACATTGAGATTTCTAGTACTACTATTTTTAGAAAACATATTTACAGTACATAAACATTTTGAAATCACAGATCTATAACTATATATGTTCTAAATTTCAACATAGATTTCCGATGAAAACCACTTTGATTTATTTCGTATCCCTGAAAGTAATTATGTATTGCTTTTATACATAAGAATGCATTGCGGGATATGCCCATATTTATATTTACCATAATAATTAGTGAAAAAGTATAAGATTTTTGAGTAATGTTAGTAATGTTTGTTTAATATTAATAATAGAAAATTGCCATACTCAGACGTTTTGTTTATTAGTTGTTCACTAGTTTTAATTGATCTTTATATTCACATAATATGGAGTAGAATTTTGGAGTTATTACATATTATATTCAGTATTAGGTGTTGAAAAATGTTTCGAATTGAAAATATCCCATTTCGGGCACTGCGGTGTCAAATGGAAATGGATATTCTCTCACACTATTGGAGTTTAAGCTAGCTCACGGACCTGCCCTAGGGCAGTACTGTCCATTATTTATTTTATTTATATTCACGACGAAAGGGTCGTAATATAGCGTTGCCATAACATTATCACTTACGCCACTGTGGGCCAAACTTTTTAATAGTAAATAATAAAATTAAATACGAAATAAAATTTGACAAACTGATTTATTGTATAGTATTTATATAATAAATATGTATAAAAGTATATTTCATGAGCGATCATGGGCTGAATGGAACATTTAGTTTTAGTTTTAAGCAGTTGGAGGAGATGGATTGCTTTAGTCTCCATCGATTTCATGATAACATTTTAACACATAATACATCAAAAGATTAAAAGTTCTGTGTCACTCTCAATTTTCAAATTATAACATCGATTACATGTTACAAGATCATGCATGTAGGATTTGATAGTAAATATTCCATACTACATCAATCGATTTCAATACTGTATTTTAATGTCCTCGAAACAATATCAATCTTCCTAATTTTTTCCAAAGTTGCACCTCACCGAAGAAATAGAATTCTTCGCCGTTTTCATCAATCGTAGAAGAATCAAACCAAGGTTTCAGAATGCTCATCACTGCCCGCTTCAAAGTGTTATTAATCAAAAATATGAGTAATAAATCCAAAGGTATATTTTGCCAGTAAGTTTTAAAGCATCCCATGAAACGTCTGTTATAAAATGCCGATCCAAAATATGAAATGACATATAATAAAGCGTTTTTAGTTATTATTCCGAGAATAGTACAGAAAATAATTTCAGTTAAAGAAGTCATTGTAATATATTGTGACAAAACTAACGAATAATTTTAAAATGCGAATGCAATATTTGAATATTTTTTGTTTTTTTTGTTTTTGTTTTGTTTCATATAAAAATACTCGTTCAAATCAAAGCTCCGTGATGTTGAATTGATGCGCTAATTTTATTTAGATAATTGGTCGTTTCAGGGCTTGAAATAGTGGCGATTTGAATATTTAAAATATTATTAAAATACAGCCTTTAATGAAGATAAATTTCACATTACTCTGTATATTATCTGTACTGACTTTTTTCATGGTGAATAATGAAGAAGGTAATATTTCTCGTATGCACAGTAAAACAGAAATCCGTTTTAAGAATCCACCGTCTATGTTTTGCAAACGGCTTCGCTCTAATCTACGCCTTTGAAATACCTCAATTTGAACCCAGAAGAGTACAAAAAATTATGTGATCATAAAGGTCAACAATCAGTAACGTTATTCATTTCTCAAGAGCTTGCGGCGGCATCATAGACCTTATAATACGTATTTAAATTTAGAAGGTCTATGGGCGGCATAGCTGACTGTAGTAATGATCGTCGTATGAATTGGTAGTAACGAACTTTCAAAAAGTACATATGTAAAAACCATATGTAAATATTCTTGCGACAAGACGTTTCATTCATAAAATCTAACCTACAAAATGCACAAACGTCAAATAACAATTTTATCATAAGAAGAACTTTTTGGTGTCTCATTGATAACGTGTACGCAAAGTTAGGTTTTATGTGTAAAGCTCAGCAAATATAAAGCTTTTTGACAGTTCGCCAATTCATACGCAGATAGTTGCTTTGCGTAACATTACGTTGCCACAACATTTCTATTTTATCCGAGAATTGATTTCACAATAATGCAGTGGATTTAGCTTCTGATATCAATCATGAACCGAATAAAAATAATGAAAATGCTTTGAGAATTAAGCCAGCAAGAAAACAAGCTTAATTGAAATTAAATTACAATCTTCCGGCCAGTATTATATAAGATTTAGTTTTTATTTGTATGTCCATAATTCTCTGCACCGGTAAGATAAATATTATCATAGCTGCACTCGCTAAATGCCTTTGATTTCTGTATATGTTGTCTAAACAGATTATTAGACACGAAGGTCATGCGGAGTATATATATATATATATATATATATATATATATATATATATATATATATACATATATATGCGTGTGTGTGTATTTGTGTGTATGTGTTGAAAAGTTACGAAACCGCTGCATTTTTTGGGAAAACTATTGAGTACCCCGGGTCTATTGAGTACCCCGGGTGTGTGAGCCTGATTGTATGCTATGAAACAAAGCAAAGTGAATTATTATTTATCAAATGATTCATTTTTCGATACATTTTTTTTTTATTTTTTAGTTATTGTTACAACCGCTATCAGAACTACTTTAACCTTACATGTCCTATGAGCTGTTTGTTGACGACCTATAACCTAATGTTTTCATGAGAGGAAACCTATCGGTTTACCATTCCCCTATATGTGGGGTTTTTCTATATGCCCTTACGTCTAATAGTTCTCATATGATTGAACGTTGCAACTATGCCCACGAAGGGCGATTTCCACTTGAAATTATATTGAGATCTATAACACCTCAAGTGGAAATTTGACATCAAAGTTTCCCGATGTCGAGATTTGGCGGTAGCGGGAATCGAACCAGCAAACACGGGACTAGTTGGAGATAAAGAGATTTATTTAATGCTTACTTTATAGTTTAAAATTATATTAATATATTATTAAACTTAATGTGTTTTTGCTTTAGCTTTTAATACTTACCTGCACTGTTAGAAATTAAAAAAAAAATGAATAAGGAAGTAGGGAGTTTATCGCAAAGCGAAAAGCATCCCTGAACATCATACACCTTGCACCCAAATCTTGTATGGCGAAAATCTTGTACGGTGGCGATTGCGATCGCATAAACATATGAAATGTTAGCAAGATGCTTGATGCCAAAGATTTCAGGTCATAATTGTTATAAAACTTATTACGAGGCTGTTTCTTCAAAAAACAAGAATTGCTATTTTTTATATATATATATATATATATATATATATATTTGAACTGCAATCAGAACCTTATGTCCTATGAGCTGTTGCGCTGAAACTTCTCCTTACTTCGTACTTTTTAGATGGTAACCTAATGGTTAATCCATCCATATTTGATGATTTTATTATTAGAATTAATCTAATAGGGCTGACTTTTTATTGGTGCAGCAATGCCGGGTGAGGGCTATTTTCACTTGGAAATATATTGCTATCTATATTTCCAAGTGAAAATCGTTGTCACTGCTGCCTGACAACAGGCTGCTCGAAGTGGGTATCGAACCCGGGACCTCTGAAACAAGTCCCGTCGCTCTTAACCGCTTACCTACGGGCGAGCCCAGAATGGCTATTCGCGTTTTTACTCGTCAATAGAATTTTATTGGCGCGAGTGGCTCGACTTCAGGACAGTCGGTTATTCGAAGATAAATTTACAAACACTATGCTTAGCATCTATAAAGCAATAATTATGTACAAGATTTTAAAATTTTATGTTTGCAATTACAATTATGTTATTATATCAAATAAATATTCAAATAAAAAGTAATTGCTATTTTTCTAGTATACACGTTTCCTGCAAAATGCTTTATGTTCAAACAAATATATATACATACATTCCAAAAAAATCAATAAATTACTGCTATTTGCATGATTTTTAGTACTTGTAACTCGATCGCTTTTGTACGAAATTGTGAACACGTTTCCAACATTTAATTTTCAACGAAAAAATACAGATTGAT